GCACATTCCTACATTGGCCGTGAGGGAAGTGGCTCCACTAGTCAGTACTTGCTGACTGGTGAACAAGGAGTTCTCAGAGCTGGTCTCAAACATACAATCTTCTGATTCCAGCTTGCCTTCTGGTGCCCGTCCTCTCTACATCAGGACATGGGCGTTAGCTGGACACCTAACTGGTGCTTTAAGTGGCACACAGCAAGTGCTTGCCAGATGTGGAAGGTGACCTGGACATTCCTTTGGGTGTGACTGGTGTCACAGAGACCACAGGGAGGTCTGACACCCCCAGGAGCAAGGGCCAACCCTGCTACAAGGCAGGCAAAAACAAACTAACTCATGACCACTGAGTCGGTTCCAACTCATAGCGGCTCCCTTTGGGTTGCCAAGGTGGTAAATCTTTACGGAAATAGATTGCCCATCTTCCTTCTGCTTAGCAGCTGGTAGGTTTGAACTGCTAACCTTCTGGTTAGCAGTCAAATGCCTCAGGCACTGCAGCAGGTGGGTGTTAAAAACAATGGTCATTCGACAAGCTCCTTGAACGGACTGTCTGCCATTTTATTCTATGGTGTGTTGCTATCCTGGATTTTCAGCCTGAAATAAATAGACCCTGTGGATCTTTGTTAAACTGAACTTTTTTGTGTACAATGTAATTTATTTTTGCAACATCAGCTGTGAAAAGGGTAAATTTTTCATCTTCTGTCTCCTTCCAGCCAAACATTAATAGTCAAATGCCCACAGAAGCAGGAGCAATAAGCCCTGATACCTGTTGAACTCTTACCTCTGTATATCCCTTGGGCAGCGTCCCAGCTCCAGCCCTTTTGCTCCTCTTTGACTGCAGCCAAGTCCTCTACTGCAGCTGGACCGTTGCTGGCCTCTCAGGGCTCTGGACTCACCTCTTCAGGACCCTAGTCCCCTGTCTTGTCCTCCCCTCTAACCTCAGATCTGTGAACAGGATTCTTTAAGGAACACCTTCATATCCTGGGCAAGTTGAGTGATACCTAGGTCACACCCCTTCTCAGCTGCCTTTTACCTGATCCTTTCTTAAAGGGGAAATGACACCTCTTATGGAGACTAAGCTTACTGAACCTTTGAAGAAATGAGCGTGCTGTTCTCTGGAAGGTTGGGCAATTTCTGAAAGAGGCAAGGGACAGAGGGAAGATCTGCCCATTGAAATATTATCTTGAAGCATCATTATGTTTAGGATGCAAGGGCAAAGGCCATCTAAGCCTAGATGGTTGTTAAGAAGGGGAGGTAGTGAGCAGATAACCTTGATGTTGCCCAGACCTTGACATGGGATTTACCGGGCCTGGGAGCTCTGGTAGCATAGTGCCTAAGGCACTTGACTGCTAACCAGAAGGCTG